TACCCAAGCGTAATGGTTCACGAAACTTACGGCAGGTTTTTGGTCATTTCGCCGGTGGAACGTTCTACCGCAATAGGGGTGCCCTAATTCCGACCTAGTGTTTAACAATCTACAACTGTTTTTCTGTCCCAAACAAGTCCTCGTTTTAAGCCACTTGCTCAAAAGTGGCTGTTTCAAAAGCAAAACCTGCATTTTTGACACGCTCGTCATCCCCCGAACAAGTGTCGAATTCAAACAGATTTTTCACTCGTCTGTTGTCGTTGCATTCCAAAACATGTTCATGTAGATTACCTTTCACACTTATGATGTGTTATGTATTATGTATGTATTATGTTATATTTTGTCTTAAGTCCTATGGATACAGAAATAAGATGAAGTAAGAATAAACAGAAGTTGTCCGCCCGGGCGGTGAGTTCAGCACCAAGGACAGAGCCGGCCGTTTTCCCGTCTGTTTACTGTAGCTCAGGCTACGTTAGATATGGTGTTAAACCCTTCCAATCCACAGATACGCTGTAGATTCTGGGATTGTAGCTACTCAAACGAATGGATCAGATGTCCTTTTCCGTCTGTAACCTTCCTTCGTCGGGGCCTCATAAACTCCAAACAGTCGGCAGGTAAAATAGATCAACAAAACTGCTGTCAAGCTAACCGAATAGCTTCGGCACAAGATGCTTGTTTTTCATTCCAGAGTAGAGAGATGTGAACAGAGGTAAGAGTAAAGCAAGAAGAAACAGAAGTTGTCCACAGCGAGTTCAGCACCAAGGACAGAGCCGGCCGTTTTCTGTCTGTTTCCTCTCGCCATGCCGAGATACGTTAGATATGGTGTTCAACCCTTCCATTCCACCGTTCATTTATGAGTAAATCAGCACCAATCTTTACACTAGTACAGAATTGCTATATTTTGGTCTCTTTTCCAACATTAACTAACCACATAGTAAAGTTAGCTTAGCCAATAAGTTAATGCCGTACCGAACAGTATTCGCCATTTCAGACTCATTTCTACATGGTTAGTTTCATTTTAAATCTCAAACAATCCCTTCGATTGTCAACCCTGTGTGTTCTGTATGTAGGGTTGTGTGTATAAGATGGAAGATCGCCACATGTGCTTATGACGGCTCCGTATTGTCGCTAACTAGCAGCCAGGCCAAAGGCTCAGAGGGTGTGATCTTCTTTTTTTTCTTTTTTTTCTGAGGACAGGCGAAAATCAATGCGCGCGCGGATGTCATCCATAAAATTGAGTCGGTGTGGCCTTTAACTTAAAAAGTTTAAGGTTGTATCCATGTGGGAAACAATCACTTCTTCTCTGGTGTCTCCCCCAGGCCGCCTTGGACGGCGCTGAAGACGCCCTGAACGTGCATGACGAACCGACCGGCTCCGCACTCAGGCTGCTGGAGGCAGCGGAAGCCTTCAACATCTCGCAACCAGCAAACTGGTGCCTGAAGGTACGGCAGGACAGGAGTCATGCTCAGGCACGGTTCTGGATGGTCCACGCGTATCCAGAACCATTTGCGTGGAAAATCTACACTCCTGGATACGCGAAGAGTATCCAGATCCGTGCCTGAACCCAACCCTTATTCTTTGTAATTTACTCCTTTTTAAAAACTTTTCCGTGTCCGCCACGGCACTTTATTAGATACAAATGTTCAGTAATATGTCAACTAAATGTACAAAGTCTACTCATCTCATGTGTACAGAGTACATGAAAGGGCAGAATGGAGTCTCGCGCGCCTTATAAGGGGTTGGTTGGTGACGTCATTTCGGATGACTAAGGCGAAACAGACATTGGGAGTGATTAAACGTAATCTGTGGGCATGTCCAACTAGAGTAAAATCACTTGCATACACGTCACTTGTAAGACCGAACCTAGAATATGCCGCGACAGTATGGGATCCGTATATAAAGAATGTATGTGGCGGGAGATTTGAAATTCTGCGCTCTCATATTCATTAAGTACCGTCGTGCCTCCTTAAATAAATCCGGCCCGTTGAATTTTACCCGTTTAGTATAAAGTCTTAGTTGTTGACTATCGTAATCTGACTTTAAAGTTAGCGGGCCACGTTTAGTTTGGCTAGCCGGCAATAGTTTGGTGTAGACAGTGAATCGTGGCGGGAGATTTGAATTTCTGCCCTCTCTTCCTCATTAAGTACCGGCGTGCCTCCTTAATTAAATCCGGCCCGTTGAATTTTACACATTTAGTATAAAGTCTTAGTTGTTGACTATCGTAATCCTTGAGGACTATCGTAATCCAAAGGATTTGCAACATATAATGAATACATATGATATAAAAAACAGGGTAAGCATTTTGCTCTATGTGAATATTTATAACTTAAGGGTTTACATAATCAATAGGAATAAAGCCAGACTAATTTAGACTTATATAATGTTTTGTAATATAACACTGCACTGCAGCAGAATTCCAGTGCTGACGTGTCCTAGCCTGCAAGAAAACTACAGCAGGACAAACTGGCCTTAAATTATCAAATTATCAACCTCCTTCTGACGTCGACCAACAGATGATACTCTGACTAGCCTTTGGTTGAAAGGTAAGACTGAAGAAATTTTCAAAGGTAAGACTTTACATTTTCTGTTCATGTAAGAGGTATTCATATGTCAGGGCAGAGACTTTCATTCTACCGGCAGGAATCCCTGTGCGAGTACCAACAGAAACTCGTCTTGTTAGTGTAATGGTCATTCAGTACCAAGGACAGTACTATCAGTGTGACTGTCATTCAGTACCATGGACTCTGTTGCAAGTGCTATGGCCATTCAGTACCAAGGACATTGTTGTCAGTGTGGATGTCATTTAGTACCAAGGACAGTGTTGTCAGTGTAGATGTCATTTAGTACCATGGACAGTGTTGTAAGTACTATGGCCATTCAGTACCAAGGACATTGTTGTCAGTGTGGATGTCATTTAGTACCAAGGACAGTGTTGTCAGTGTAGATGTCATTTAATACCATGGACAGTGTTGTAAGTCTATGGCCATTCAGTACCAAGGACATTATTGTCAGTGTAGATGTCATTTAGTACCATGGACAGTGCTGTAAGTACTATGGCCATTCAGTACCAAGGACATCGTTGTCAGTGTGGATTTTATTCAGTACCAAGGACAGTGTTGTCAGTGCTATGGTCATTCAGTACCAATGACAGTGTTGTCAGTGTTATGGTCATTCAGTACCAAGGACAGTGTTGTCAGTGTGGATGTCATTCAGTACCAAGGACAGTGTTGTCAGTGTGGATGTCATTTTGTACCAATGACAGTGTTGCAAGTGCTAATGGTTAATTCAGTACCAAGGACAGTGTTGTCAGTGTGGATGTCATTTAGTACCAAGGACAGTGTTGTCAGTGTAGATGTCATTTAGTACCATTGACAGTGTTGTAAGTACTATGGCTATTCAGTACCGAAGGACATTGTTGTCAGTGTGGATGTCATTTAGTACCAAGGACAGTGTTGTCAGTGTAGATGTCATTTAGTACCATGGACAGTGTTGTAAGTACTATGGCTATTCAGTACCAAGGACAGTGTTGTCAGTGTGATGGTCATTGAGTTCATTATTATCATTTACTGGATGCCAGTTGATGACACTGTGGACTATACTACTGTAACTGTACTTCCAGGATGGGTGGGGCCGGGGGGGGGAGTACTCAGTTTTGTGTATTAGATAATTGTGACTTACCCACCTTTTTCTTGTAGGGCTACTGTTTTTACTACATTGCTGGTTAATGTGATGTCTGAAAGTTTCAACAGTCACTGATCATCATATGTTATATACTTATTAAAGGCTAGGCTCAGGTTTCTTGTTACTTAAATTAAATTTGTTCTTGTTGTCAGGACATCATGGGAAGAATGCTGAGATATTTGCTGATTTTCCTTCTCATCATCCTGAAGGATGCCAGAAGCTTCTGGTTAATCAGTAAGCCAGAACCTGACTGCAACAGTAGATGTAAGGCACCCACACACTGCAAATGCAGTGAACTTGGCCTCAAAGGCATCCCTCAGAACCTGCCAACATCCATCTTGAACTTGGATTTGAGACTTAATAAGATTACATCTATAGGTCCGCCAGATCTCACAAGGTACAGGGACCTGAAAATATTAAACCTAGGCGTCAATCAAATAATAGAAATTATGCCTGGTACATTCTCAAAACTACAAAAGCTCACAATATTGTATCTGTACTGCAATAGCATAAATGAAATTAAGCCTGGTGTGTTTTCAAATCTAACGAATCTCAGAGATTTGCACCTTGGCCCCTCTAATCCAATAACTGAGGTTCGGGCTGGTGCATTCTCAAATCTACCAAAGCTCAGAGTGTTGAGACTAGACAACAACCAAATAGCTAACATTCAACCTGCTGCATTCTCAAGTCTACCAAAGCTAACAATATTGAATCTAAACAACAATCAAATTAAAAAATATAACTGGGGTATTTCAAATCCTACCAAGTCTTACAAGGTTGTACCTATCCAGCAATCAAATAATTGACATTCAGGCTGTTCAGTTTTCAAATCTACCAAAACTCGCAGAGTTAAACCTAGACGAAAACCAAATAACTGCAGTTCAGCCTGGTATACTTTCAACTCTACCCCTGCAGCTACATACATTGTCCCTGGGTGGAAACAGTATAACTGAGATTCAGCCTACAGCATTTTCAAATCTACAACAGCTCAAACGTTTGAACCTGGCACGCAACCAGATAACTAAGATTCCCCCTAATGCAATTTCAAATCTACCACAGCTTATAGATCTGTTCCTGGAATCTAACAACATAAATGAGATTCATCCGAAAGCATTCTCAAATCTCCCACAGCTCCTATTGTTGCACCTTCAGTCTAACCAAATATCTGCCCTTCCCTCGCAGTATATGGTATGTTGGCATCTTTTCCTCAAGTAATCATCCGCTACAACCCCTGGCAGTGTGACTGTAAGATCATGGTTCCCTTCAGGCTAAAACTGCATGGGCTTCGTTCGTTTGAAAACCAAATAGTATGTTCCCATCCTGCCAAATTTTCTGGACAGAAGCTTAAAGATATCAACTCTGAAGACCTTATTTGCAATGTGTCAACCATATCACCTGTGCTTCAGTTAGAAAGTGATGACAACTCCTACAATGGCACCACTTACGCATATAACACCCCTGGCTATCACTGGAACAGCAAAGAAAATGCTGGATCAACAGAACGCCCTGTAGGTACCGTATTTGCCACACTGCCTGTAAATGCAAGTAAACCAGATGGCAACAGTTCTTACAGTGGCCAGTTGGAAAGTGCTTTTAACAACAACACCCGCACTCATACCGCTTCAGACTCATCTTGCTATCGCTGGTACTTCAATCGAAATGCTGGTCCAACAGCATACACTGTAGGCACCACATTCACCACAAGTAAACCAGAAAACAGCACTTGTCATGTATCTGCTCCCAGTTTCCCACCACTAGTCGTCACTGCATCTGTCTGTGGTTCAATAGCTGGCTTTGTCCTTATTGGTATCATCATTCTCACAAACTGGTACAAGAGGAGGGATGGGAATCCCGTTCAGGCAAAGATCCCAAAGATGTTTCGAACGACAGAAGTCTTCAAGCGAAGACAACACCAGCTGTTTTACAGCCAAATAATACCTATGAAAGTCTTAACACACCACAAAAGAACCTGCACGAGGAACAAGAAGGCCCAGGTCAAGCCAAAAGTACCACTAGTCATGGAGATAAAAAAATTGGTGCATCTCACTCTAAAAGTTTGAGCAGCGAAGACACCACTGATCACCAATATGAAAATAATGACCAACATGATCCTATAGGACAGGGTCAGTCTCATGCCATCACTAGACCCAAAACAAACACCGCAGCTACTGTAGTGACCAGTGACCATGACCATCAGTATAAAAATAGTGACCAACATGATCAGACAGGGCAGGGTCAGTCTCAGGCCATCACTGTACCCAACAAAAACACCACAGCTACGGTTACAGTAGTCACCAGTGGTCATGATGATCATCAGTATGAAAATAGTGACCAACATGATCAGACAGGGCAGGGTCAGTCTCAGGCCATCACTGTACCCAACAAAAACACCACAGCTACGGTTACAGTAGTCACCAGTGGTCATGATGATCATCAGTATGAAAATAGTGACCAACATGATCAGACAGGGCAGGGTCAGTCTCAGGCCATCACTGTACCCAATAAAAACACCACAGCTACGGTTACAGTAGTCACCAGTGGTCATGATGATCATCAGTATGAAAATAGTGACCAATATAATCCCAGTGACCATGATCACCAGTTTGAAAATAGTGAACAACATAACAAGACAAGAGAGGGTCAGTCTCAGGCCATCACTGCATCCAACACAAACACCACAGCTACTGTAGTGACCAGTGGTCATTATTATCAGTATGAAGATATGAACCAACAAAATCAGACAGGAGAGGGTCAGTCTCAGGCCATCACTGCATCCAACACAAACACCACAGCTACTGAAGTGACCAGTGGTCATTATTATCAGTATGAAGATATGAACCAACAAAATCAGACAGGGCAGGGTCAGTCTGAGGCCATCACTAATCATGATGATTTGTTCCATAACCATTATGGTAGTAATCGAATATACTCCACAGAACAGGTCATGTTAGAGCCCAATTGTGTTTACAAATGTAAGAATGTTCAGACAGGGCAGGGCAAACCTCAACATGCAGCCAGTGATGAATTGATGGATAATAGAATTTCTCTAGTATACAACACAGAACTGGCTGTGTCAGAGCCTAATCAAGTGTATAAAATGTAAAAATGTTCAGACAGGGGCTTTAGAATGGTCCGTACTTTTTGCCAAAAACAGTTACTCAAGCAACTGGATATGATTTTGAAAACGTCAGACGTTTCAGCTAGTATCCACTAGCTTTCGTCAGTGACTGAGAGACCAGAGGGGAAAGCAGGTTTATATACACAACCTGTTGATTGATATGCAAATAAAGTGAAGACAAATTTTTTGGAAGTCGAAAAAGGAACAAAAGTCAGACAAGTCAAGACAAGATGATGCAAATTAGTCTGAAAGCTCCTGTTATACAGGACAGACAACACTTAAGCTCCTGTCCTGTATAACAGGAGCTTTCAGACTAATTTGCATCATCTTGTCTTGACTTGTCTGACTTTTGTTCCTTTTGTGCAGGATGTTACCTTCGCATTGTCTCGCGCTACATGTATACTATTCCATTGGGTAAGGATGGGTAGACAAATATACTGCATTTCCTCATACTGGAGACTTTTGTTAAGATGGTACAAAAAGGAGTGTCATAGTTACTGAGGAGTCAATTTTTTGATAGTGAGGGATGGTTATTTTGCATTTGCTCGTACAGCAGACTTTATGAATAAACTTACACAAAGTGTAATGTGGGAACGCTACGAGGATCAGAAGCGATCCGGAACGGTAAAAAAAATGACGCCTCCCCTCAAACACATAATCTTATCGTACATACAGATAATGATTCAAAAGTAAAGATTGAAGCATGAGTCAAGTACACATTGAATCTTCATGACAGTTTAATTGCAAAATGAAACGTGTTACTTGTAATAACAAGATAGGTGTTAAAACACCTTGGCGACGCAGAGGGGTAGTGATGTTGCATGATTTTGACTTAGGCCCGTAAGGCAGAGAAATGTATATTTTACCTGATGTGAAGTACGTGATATACCAAGAACGTGTTATTTTTTTGTGGACAAGAACAATAAATGTCTACTGTGACAGCTTGTATGGTGAATTGATCTTTCAGAGATTGGTATATATTAGTTCCTGCACATTCATATGCTATATAAAATCGATAAGGTCGATGTTCAAGAATGTAATTGATTCGGCGTGTCATTCGGATAATAAATACACTACTGTTGAGCCCTGGAGAGATCCAAACTCACGGTCGGGAGCCCAGATTAGAAAGAATACCAGACAGTGACCAGTCCCAGGCGGGCCCTTCAAAAATGGGTGCACATGTCAGCTATATAGGTCAACTTCTAAAGTTACGATGGCATCTCCTTTGTTACAACATAAGCCTTATAGATGAAAGATAGTTCTTCCTCTATTTCGTATCATTCTTTATCATATCTTTATATTAGATGTATAATATTAGATATATGATAACACAGTATTTCACTAGATTCAAAATTACATAATATCTGAATGACCCAATCTTTGCAGCATTGATATTTTTAAAAAGGATGTGATACTGAGCAGAGAAAGAGTTGTTTGTTTCATGTGATGTGATATTCTGTGTCAACATTTGGTACCGTTGGTACCTTCTTGGCGAAGGTAACAATATCGACGGTCCGCATTTAGCAAAATTAAGAGCCATAGTTTGAGTAAATTTCTGCCCAACCGGATCCCAGTCCGATATCATGTTTCGATGGCGTTGAACGGTCATGTATCCTGGTAAGGCCACACCAAGTAAATTTTATGGATGACGTCCGCGCGCGCATTGATTTTGGCCTGTTCCTAGAAAAAAAACAAGAAATTCCGCTTCCTGTTACTATGACCAAAGAGTCACGACAGTGCCACAAATAGGTTTGTACGGACCAAAGCTTATGAAGCATCAAGCAAGACTTCTATTAGGAATTCAGTTTGGTACATGCTGCCACATTTGAAGAAACTTGCTGACCGCTCCATCTATCTCCCCAAAAGCACAAGACGACAACTGCTGTTCCACCTGATTTATTTCTGTTTTGATGATGAATAAAAGATTTCTTGCTTGTTACACTGTGTCACCTCATTTAATTTGTGTCCTAACATTTGTCGTCTCTTAGTATATTTCTAATATAGGCATCTTGTTTTTTAGGGCCCGTCTTGTTTTTTTTTCGCCCTCTCGCATTAGATTTAGGGTCTCCAAAGGACGTCATCCATAAAATTTACTTGGTGTGGCCTAATTATGTTGAAAAATCCCCGTCGACAGATATACTAGCATGTATCGATGCATTGAAACGTCTGGATAGCACGTTAGAATAACACACGCCCCCCTCCCCCACTGCGTGACGGAAGGGTCATATCGCGATGTCGTAATCGAGTAATTTATGAAGAAACAGGCCAAATGTTCAACAAATTTCTGCCCACAAGGATCCCAGCCCAAAATATATACATTTATTCATATTCTTTGTCGGTAGACGCGATCGTCGGGATAAACCCGATATATTAAAAAATTACGTCCTTTGGTACGTAAATAAATCAACATGGAGGTAGAAAAACAACTCCATGTCAAGGACAAGCGAAACACGTACGCTTCAAATTCACCCGTCCCGAGCTGTGAAAACTGTAGCCTCCTGTGCAGGCTCTCTGGGCCGGTTGGAATTTTGATACAGCGTTTTGTAGAGTTTAACGTGTTCTTTTAATAGCCGGCCATCCTACAACTTACGTCAACTAGCCGCCAAGAGAAGGTTGCATTCCGCCCTTGGCAGGTTTGACTACTTGGCACCACATGCGCACAAGTGCCAAGTCATGCTAAAGACTTATTTCACCCACAATGCATTCCGGTATCTGATATTTCAAAGTTTTCGGAAATGTAGTGGGTAAAGAGAATTAAAAATTCAACAATATCTTGTGATAATTTAAAAGATAATTTACCCGTTTATTTTGTAATGGAAATACTGAAGGGTTTCCAATTTTGTAAACATTCATAGATAAAGAAACACCACACCAAGCCCACATATGAAAGTGTCAGAAAACAGCCATGGTATATATAACAATCAGTACACCATGTAGTATTGCTTGAATGACCCTCGGTGGTACCGGGGTGCAGGCTTCAAACCTGTGGCCGACTGGCGTCGGAGCGGTTCAATTCCGCCTTTCGAGCGAAATCTTTTTCGTCCATTTCCAAAAAAAATTCAACCACAATGTAAATCGTACAAAACAGTTGCAAAATGAGCAAACATCTATCGTAAGTTGCAAAATCAAATATATTGGAAAACGATACCAATGTCGTAGAATGCCAAAATCAAACGAAAAAGACGAAAATGTAAAGAAATGAATTTGAAGAGTAGATTATTCGCCATACCATACTCTGTGTTATTTCTTCAACCTTCATGACCACGTTGATTTCATGATGAAAGCAATTTTTTGCCTAACTTTTCTTTTTCATTTGCACGCTCGCGTCAGTTTTGGGGTTCCCAGAGGATGTCATGTATAGTCAAATCAATATGGCCTAAACTGCAAACTAGAAAGGTAACATTTCCAAGCAAATGCAGGATGTTACCTTCGCATTGTCTCGCGCTACATGTATACTATTCCATTGGGTAAGGGTGGGTAGACAAATATACTGCATTTCCTCATACTGGAGACTTTTGTTAAGATGGTACAAAAAGTAGTGTCATAGTTAATGAGGAGTCAATTTTTTGATAGTGAGGGATGGTTATTTTGCATTTGCTCGTACAGCAGACTTTATGAATAAACTTACACAAAGTGTAATGTGGGAACGCTACGAGGATCAGAAGCGATCCGGAACGGTAAAAAAATCCTAGTGTGAAAATATAATAAGGATGAAGTTGAAAATGACGCCTCCCCTCAAACACATCATCTTATCGTACATACAGATAATGATTCAAAAGTAAAGATTGAAGCATGAGTCAAGTACACATTGAATCTTCATGACAGTTTAATTGGAAAATGAAACGTGTTACTTGTAATAACAAGATAGGTGTTAAAACACCTTGGAGAGTGGTAGTGATTTTGACTTAGGCCCGTATTATAATAGGGTGAAATACTCCCGCAATCTCCAAACAACATACTCCAGTTAATGGGGAGTCTGATGTGAGTTACACAACATGCCCCTAGCCAGGATTTCGAATGGGGTGGTTCTTCCCACTGCTAGAGGGTACCTCGAGCGCCGTAGGCGCGAGGTTCCTAGTGGGGTCCGGGGGCATGCTCCCCCTGACAATTTTGAAAAATGAACCTTCTAAAATGGCATTTCGTGCATTTTTGAGGGAATTTTCAAGAAAAAAAATCAGAGATAGATTTTTATTCAATGACAAAGGGAGCAGTTTTTCTACAATTCCAGTCCATCTTTTCAAGAAAAATCTTGTGTGTGTGGGTGGGGGGGGGGGT